ACTTGGGTGGTTTGCACGTGTTTGATGGGCTGATGGAGGTCACCGAGATGGACACTGGGTGGTTTGCACGTGTGTGATGGGCTGGTGGGGGTCACTGAGATGGACACTCGGTGGGTGGTTTGCACGTGTGTGATGAGCTGGTGGAGGTCACCGAGATGGACACTTGGGTGGTTTGCACGTGTGTGATGGGCTGATGGAGGTCACGGAGATGGACACTCGGGTGGTTTGCACGTGTTTGATGGGCTGATGGAGGTCACCGAGATGGACACTGGGTGGGTGGTTTGCACGTGTGTGATGAGCTGGTGGAGGTCACCGAGATGGACACTGGGTAGGTGGTTTGCACGTGTGTGATGGGCTGGTGGAGGTCACCGAGATGGACACTGGGTGGTTTGCACGTGTGTGATGGGCTGGTGGAGGTCACTGAGATGGACACTCGGTGGGTGGTTTGCACGTGTGTGATGGGCTGGTGGAGGTCACCGAGATGGACACTCGGTGGGTGGTTTGCACGTGTGTGATGGGCTGGTGGAGGTCTCTGAGATGGAGGCTTGGTGGGTGATGATCTTGGCGTGCATCTCTATGATGAGCTGAATGCACTGCCACCATCTACAACACCAGCGTGGGTGCACATCCCATGACCCCATGCTGATCGTAACAGGCTGTGCAGCATAAACCCAGCAGAGCGTAACCCACGTGGCCAAGAGCAGCACTGTTGTAAGTGCAGAACAGAAAAGCTGGAACACACAGGCCAAGGAGACTCACACCAGGGATGTGCACCAGCGTGGGCACCTCTCCTGGGCTGCTGAGCAGAGAAGGGAGCTGGATGGGGCACTGGCCCAGACTGCGAGGGCAACCGAAATTCTTCTGTGCCGTGAGAAACTAGGAAAGTGGCCGTCCCTGGGGAGGGAGGTGACTGAGGGGCCGGAGGGGGCTTCAGGGGCCTGTGATCCCCCCAGGTGCCACGGTATGATTAGGATGCATACCTTTCTGCATGGATGTTGTATTTTAATAGGGGTTTCAAAAAATCTTTATCTTCAAAGATAGTAGAACTGAGCTGGAAAAAGCTGAACGACGATGCCAAATGAACGGGATTGAAAACGGGGCTGGGGAGGCTTAAAGGAAGACAAGGTCCTGGCTAGGGAGCCGTGGCAGGAACCTGAGGCTGTGGAGAACGTGAACCGACAAAAGCAGAGCAGGGCAGGCAGACCCCGGACCCGGTGCTGCGCTGCAGGCGGGAAGCAGGCACTGGCCAGCTGCATGAGAACAGCCTGCTGGGCCAAGAAGGCTCAACATTCCTCTGGCGGGAAGCGTGACCAAGGAAGGTTCTGAACGAGGAGGAACAGCAGAAGCTGAGGGATGGCAGGCTCAGCTAGGATGAGAGGTGGCATTTAGCCCACAACGAGGGCGCTGAGGAGGCTGCAAGGGGCAGGACCCCGCTTTCCCTAGAAAAGAGGCTGGCAAGGCCTGTATCATGTTAACCAGGCAGTTACAGAGCTGATGCCACCCAGGAAAGAAACACAAAGCAAATCAGATGCGCGCAGAGCTCAACGAGAAATCTCTCCAGCATACAAATCAAGACGAGCTGCAGAAAGTTGCTGGTCTGAGGAGACGTGGCCGAGGGTGTGGTTCAGCCACGGTGCAGCACTCCCTAGTTTCCACTCCAAGGAGGGGAGGGCAGGGCTCCCTCCCCATGGGGGCTGTCCTGTTTCTGGGGGCACCCAGCAAGCTCACAGCAGCACCGGACCACACGGGCAAGCTCACGGCACCACCGGACCACGCGGCCGCACAGAAGTGGAGGCACAGTCTCCCACCCTCTCTGCGTTCTCCGACCTGGAGGAGTGCCCTCTACAGGGGTGGGGGCTTCACAGGAGGTTGCAGTTTAATTTCTAGCGTTAATCCCTGAAGTTTAGATCCCAGAGTCGGAAAGCCAGGGGTGTGAGAGGCGCAGGGAGGAAATGCACCGGGAGGTGAGCGCCTGTTTCGCCGTGGGCCAGATGGTGGCCTCCACCATCCCGCAGGGCACGGCAAGCGCCCAGAAGCTCCTCTTGAGAAACGTGGGCAGAGAGCACCTGTGAGAACAAGGGGCCACAAGGGGCCTTCCACGGGCACGCCGCGGTCACAGGGGCTGCGCTCACAGCGGGGCTTGTGAGTGTCAGGTTTCAGGGGAGAATCAAATCCGTGAACTTGGGTAATGAAGGAAGACTTATCTCACTCAGGAAGCTGGAGGTTTCTCACAATGAATCCTGTGTTTGACAAAGACAAGGAATTTGCTTTAATATCATCGCCTTGAAGAAAGTCAAATGTTTGAGTGGGGCTACTGTTTGGGAGGCCAGTCCTTTGTGAGGGGATCCGGTTGCCATGGTCCCAGCAGGAAAATGCACACTGCGGTGAGATACTAACATTCCTTCCTCCTGGAGAGGAGGGGGTGGGATCCGCTTGATTTTGGTTTTAGCAAGTGGCCACGTTATGTGGTGCTCCATTATTACGTGAAATTACAGCACACAAATCAACCCCTTTCAAATGCCCAGCACTTCCGAAAACAGACACTCTGGATCTATATTATTTAACAGCCAATATAACTCCCTATTTAAGAAAAATATTCTTACAGGAAAATATGTCCCTTTCAGATAGAACCAAACCGACCCCAATGTATTAAAGTGCAGAACGGGGTCCCCACGAGGGCTCCGTGCCCACACCTGACAGCAGCAGACCGTGCATGTCCTTCAGAGCTTTATGGCAGATTGTATTATTACTGACAGAATTCACACAAACGGGGTGTGCTTGAGTTCTACAAAAGGCATTTTATGGAAGGCAAAATGATTTGAAAATGGACAAGTTTTTAGACAAGGAGTGTCACAACAGTCACCAAAGTACTTTAGATTTGTTTTCATTCAACTACAGAAGAAGCAAAACACCCTCTAATAGTCTTTAACTTAAAAGGATTTTAAAGGATGGTTATAGTCGTTTCAAAAGTGAATTTGTTTACACACATTTCAGAAGCAAGTTGGAATGGACGTTCCACAATAACCAATTTGTAAGGAGTTTTCTATTCCACTGTACCTGGCTAATATTAAAAAGATTGTTTCAGCAACAGGGTCTCACTGTGTTTCCCAGGCTGGTCTCAAACTCCTGGGCTGAAGCAGTCTTTCCACCTCAGCCTCCCAAAGTGCTGGGATTGCAGGTGTGAGCCACCACGCCCGGCCACACCTGCTATTTTTCCAAGTTCATGTTGAAAGACCCTTTCCTGGACATTGCTGTGGCCACGCACCCTCGGGGTGTCTCAGTGGACAGGGCAGCTCCCGGCCCGGCTCTCCTCCTGCAGCACTTTGAGGCTCGCAGGACGGGAGTGAAGTGGACTCTCAGGCATGGGGCTGGGCTGGTGGGTCAGCTCCTGGGCCTGCAATCCCAGCACCCTGGGAGGCTGAGGTGGGAGGATTCACTAAAAACGCGTTTCAGTGTTAGCCGAGTGTGGTGGCGCGTGGAGGGTGCAGTGAGCTGCAGCCTGGGTGACAGAGCGAGACCCTGTCCCAAAAACAAACAAAAAAACAACAACACAAAAGATTCTTTTTCTTTTAAACAACCAACTTTTAAAAATTATTTTATTTCTAATTATTTTAAAAATCTTCCTTCGGTATCTTACACATGTCTCTGCTTTCTCTGCTTTCCTAAACAGAGCACATGGGGCTGTCTGTCTGTCGGGGCTGTGTGTCGGGCAGCGGAGCGGGTGCGCCGGGCAGGGAGGGGGTGCGCTGGGCAGGGAGGGGGTGCGTTTGGAAACAAAGCTCCCTTCACTCCTCAGCCCCCCGCTGTGCTGCCACTCACCTCTACCAACATCGGGCCACCCTCTACTCCACCCAAAAAATCAAAAGCAACATGAATTACATCTTGGCAAGAAGCTGCAAAAGGCAAAGGCCTTCCCCTGCCGGACGCTCCCAGGCCGGGCGCGTGTTTTAAGCCACCTTCTTTTTTGTATGTTTGGTTGCAGCAGAAATTTGTCCTCAGAACAACACACCCGGCACAGGCTGAGACGCTGCTGGGGGCCCCCCCTTCCCGCCCTGCTCCCGCCGTCTCTGTATGCCAGGGAGGACACTGCTATCACAGTGACCGGCTCCAATGACAAAACGACTTGGTCCAAAGCACTCAATGTAACCAACGTGGCGGCCGCGGGAATGTGGCTGGACGGATTCAGATGGTGCAGACGTCCATTCTGTGGGGCTTGTCAGCATGCCCGTGGGGCCTGCTGAGGGAGGTGAGGACGGAGCGTGTGCAGGAGCCGCCTGGATTT